AAGTTTAGGATTAAGAATCAAGCAGCTTGTAAAATGAGCTGTTGGTGTAGTTCCAAAGAAGTATTTTCGCTTGGCTCTGCGCGTAATGGCTGAATACCAACGGCTGAAATCCCGCACCTTCCATCAAGAACCTCCATCTTTCTTTATCCTCCATTCGCTCTCTTTTGCGTTCCTCCGGCCCCACTACTCCGGCGATTCTACGGCCAAGCAGCAGTCTTTCCGCCTGGAGCCGTTCAGGCGAGTCGCGGGCCAATCCCGGTTCGAGCGATTCGAAGATTGCGGTGTAGTATTTGAGCCCGTTCTTGAAACGGTGCAAGAACCCGACCCGGTTGAGGCTCACTTCGTACTCTCCTAGAGTGACGACGCATGGATTCAACGACTTGGCGAGCTTGAGAGCGTCCTCCACGCCGTCGTTGCTCTCGTCAAGCAAATTGTACAGCTGAAGCATGAAGTTCACCGCCAAAACCTCATCCGGGTCGACCCGGAAACTCGACCCTTCCAGCTCGTGGACCGGGGTTAAAATCGGGTCGAATTCGAATCTCAGATCCAGCAGTTTGGCAAAGTCACGCAGCCGGTTTCCGGTGGCGAAGAGCGACGCTGCTGGGGAGTTGCCGAGAGATGGGGCGGGTATGCCCGAGATCCGAATCCGGTCGGGTTTTCCAGAGGGCCGGGTCGCCAGAGCTTGCAGAAATGCGGCCCATTGGATCCCTTGAACAATCCCGAAATCGACGATGTGAATCTTGTTCGCCTTCTCGGTGGCTTCCAAAATAGCTTGGTTTGCTGTCAAATGGGCGAATTTGGAGTAGGGGCACGCGTCGTTTAGGGCTTTGTACGATAGAGTGAACTCCTCGGAGGTGGTGTCGTAAATGGTGGATGTTTTCTCCGCCCGAGTCGACACTCTGCTGCACAGGGCTTCCGAGAAGTAGTACGAAACCCGCTCCACAGGGTCGCCGACGCGGGAGACCGAGTCCTGGAGCTGGATCAGTGATGCCATGGCGTTTTCCGGGTCGGACTCGGAGAGGCGGGCGCAGTCGATTAGGGCTTTCAGAATCGGCTTCGCTTTGGGCGAATCTTCCGGCGAACTTGTGGAAGCGCCGCCGGCAGCCGTCGATGCGGCGGCGGCGTCTAATTTGGTGGTGATTACAGGCTTGGATTGTTGCAATTTTGTTGTCGGCGGTAGGGAGACGGAGGAAGGCGCGACCCAGGTGGAGGTCGGGGGAGGCTCGGGGAAGATGACTCGGCTGAGATCGGAGGGTGGGGGTGAGTTGATGCTGAGTCGACTCGGGAACGGATCGGTGGGGTAGAGATGGCTGAACTCGGAGCTCGTCTGCCACGCGTCGCAATCGGTCTGGAGATTGGAGCTCTCCGTGGAATCTCCGCCGCCCATTAGGCTCTCCATCCACTCGTCCGAGTCGAACTCGCCTCCGGGACCGCCGCACAAATCAGAGAAGCGGAAGCCAGTGGAGTGGTGGTGGTGGTGGTCTAGGTTGGGGAAAGGAAACCCCGGGTCGGCGGATTCGGGTCCGGGCGGGACCTGAAACGGGTCGGTGAATCCGGCGGTGAGGCCATAGGCGAGAGGGGGGGCGGAGTTGGGGGTTTGGTGGTGGGGCCAGGATGAGAAAGGGTTGATTGTGTGAAGTTGCTGTTGTTGCTGCTGCTCTTGCTGCTGCTTCTGCTTGATTACTTGCTGCGCAATCGCCATTAGATTTCCACTGTCAGTACACATATACGCCATTCTATTACTCTACCAAACCCTCACATACTAAAGTGCAGCTACTGTGTGTGAGAGAGAGAGAGAGAGAGAAATTACAGATAAGAGAGAGAAACAAGAGAGAGAGAGAGAGAGAAGGATAGTTGAGAGTGGCGGACAGATATAAAGAAGTAAAAGGCAGTAGGGAAAAATTCTGCTTCATGGCTACTGTAGGCGATCTTCATATTTTTTAATTTAATATTAAGTCCTTCATCTTTTATATAATTCATGTGTTGAACCCTGATTAAATTATACTAATGTAATGTACACATGACACATCCCTCCCTTCAATTTATTTTTTGAAAAAATGAACTTAAACTCATTTCATAATAATATTATGATAAAAGACATTGTTATTTTTCATTATAATCAATTTATAACTATCAACGATCGAAGGATTAAATGTTAGTTGACGATAAACGTCAAGGAGCCGAGGCCGTGGTAATTTTTGAATTCGAGAGTTTAAAAAGTAAATCGTTGTTTCTCATTAACAATGAAAGTTGTTGGGAGATAAAATCAATTATGAGTTAGAGATAACATAGAGCGAAGTGAACGAGACTGCAATGTGGTAAAAAAAAAAACTATTTTATAGCATCCATCAAATTAAGAGGTGAGATTTACATAATTTTGTAGATAACCACGTTATGACAATCATTGACGGCATGCCATCTTATAAACTCACGTTCTTATTTAAACACGTGCTTCTAACTTCAGCAAATTACAAAAATCCAACTTAAGGTGTAACGAAGGAAACCGAACCAGTTATGACAATCATTAACGGCCATCATATAAATTCATGTTCTTATTTTGACACGTGCGCCTAACTTAAGTAAATTACAAAATTTCAACTTAATGTGTAACGAAGATAACATAACCAGTTAAGAGGAAAGATCTACATAATTTTGTAGATATAACCATATTATGACAATCATTAACGGCATGCCATCTTATAAATTCGTGTTCTTATTTTGACACGTGCTCCGAACTTAAACAAATTATGAAAATCCAACTGTAGGTGTAACGAAGAAAATCAAACTAACGTTAAGATGGAAGATCTACATAATTTTTTTATTTTTTTTTTAGATAACCATATTATGACAATATATCATTAACGGCATGCCATCTTATAAATTCATCTTCTTATTTGTGACACGTGCTCCTAACTTAAACATATTATAAAATTCCAACTTAAGGTGTAACGAAGAAAACATAACCAATTATGAGAAAAGATCTACATAATTTTCTTATGAAAGAAGAAGTCTCTAACTATATCACAATATCTAAGAGGACCCTAAATTAAAGTGACCTTTTAAACCTAATTATAAACCTAATTTTGTTATCAACTATCATAATTTTAGCTTCCCTAATTATTTACACTATTTAATAATTAATTGCAAATTGATAATTGGTAGCAATTTTTCTTTTTTAAATATGTACCGTATGAAAATATATAAAAAAATTATATATAAATAAAAAACTTATATATGTTTATATAACATATTTATAAATATACTCCTATAATTAAAGTTTCCCACAAGCTTCCGTATTACCATTTTTTGGATATGTTGTTTCTTCATTTCTGTTCCCTACTTTTTTATATCACCGTTTCCATGTCCGTGCTGCATATATATTTATGAGATTCGTTAGAAAGTCCTTTGTAGCATGCATTTTCGTAGGGTAACATCTATTATGCAACAATATGTAATACTTACCACACACGTTACCCGGTACAATTTAAAATAGAAAACAAAAAGATATATTCTTCTTTTGTCAAAAGAAATTAAAACAGAATTCATTTTAAGAAAATAAACATTTTCTTGACCACTCATATCAACAATTATTTAAGTCGTAATAATGTTTTCAATTTTGAATCATTTTATGTTGTATATCTAAATCATTTGAATATTTTATTTTGGATAGAAAAATGTCACAAGTTAATAATATTTTTAATAACTTTTTTTATTAGCATAATACAATATTAATGATTGATGATTCTAGAAATAGATCACCTTAAACAGTTGAAGTAGAATGAGCTAGAAGGGTAAAGTGGATCATTGGCTCACAAGTTTGATACCATTGAGATACTTGCGAGAAGAGAACACATAAATTAAGTCGGGGGTCGATCCGACAAAAACCCCTCCGACGCTCAAGTCAGGTGTGTGGATAGCAATAGTCGTAGATAAAATTAGAGTAGTTGAATTGCTTGAATAATCGAACGTACCTTAAAGAATGAATTAAAACCTTTATTTATACATCATTGATCGGGCTGAAATTTAAATAGTTGAGATTGTCGGACTCAAACCTTATTTGAAGGTGATAGGGGTAGTAGTGGTCTTCAATATTGGGCTCGGGACCTAGTAGGTAAACAAATTGTAGGCCCATTGCCTGGCTCAATTAGGCATATCAAATATAAAGCACTCTTTTAACTTTTTAACGTTTTCGAATTTTAGAAACGTTTCGTGTCGGAAATTCAAAACACTTGCCAGGAACCTTACGGCCGTTTCGCAGTTTTTAAAAAGTTAAAAACATAACTGAATAGCAAATTTTCAAATATGTTTATTGTTTCCCAAATTATTTACGATATTTAATGATCAATTGCAAATTGATAGTTGATAGCAAAATTTATTTCGAATATATTTGTATAATAATATATAACCAACTCTCATTAGGAGAGTTGGTATCTAACTTTACCAACAAGGTAAACGGTCTAGGATTCGAATTTAAATGTAAAGGACTTGAATTTACTCAAAATGTATATAATATATATAAAAAAGGGAATTTATACATGAATAAAAACTTATTTATGTATATATAAAATATTTATAAATATACTCCTATACTTTTAATATTTATACGTTTCCTGTGCTCATTTCCAAACAAGCCGTTTCCGGTATTTGTTTCTCCATTTTTCCGTATCGCCATTTCCGTAGTACATAAATGGGACCCAAATTACCTTCCCTTTTTCACCTTTTTACCTCACGTCACATTTTGACCCTCACCAAATTATCTAATCACACGGGCCCCACTCGCCTTCCACTTTGTAGACGTGTCATTATTTAGTCAAGCTCCCTCTGCCAACGGGAAGAAAAGAGAAACAGGCATCCCACCGTCGATTCTGCATCGGACGGTGGAGATCCATTTCCTCAAGCCCAAGACAGATCGAAAAAGCAATGACGTCACGCGATGGCGATGTTTGACGCGCCGTATACCGACGTGTCACACATGAATGTGGGGACCACCTGACGCTGCTGCAGAGGGCCCTCCGTGGAGAGCGGGAGGGAAATGTGTGATACACGTGGACGATCCAGTGACGTCGTTTTAGTCGTATTAGTGGGCCCCACAGGTGAATTGGCGCCATGTCATTCAGGGTCACTTCTCACTATAGACTACTGTATAGGGGGAAGCAATATCATTGCCTTTCCTCTTGTTGGATTCTCCATTTTCTTCAATGGGAGTCCGTTTTATTTATAATTTCATTTTTTTAGTTGTTTATAGTTTATATACTTCAAATGTGTGACGATTAAAAGATACATTTTCCACTTATTTTGCACCACAGTGATATTTATAAATTACGCAGCACGGAAACATCAGCTTCTTAACGTTTTTCGTATTTTGAACAAGTTTTGTGTCGGAAGCTGAAAGACATTTGCCGGACACTTTATGAGTTATTTTGCAATTTTTCGTTAAAACATGTTTGAATAGCAAAAATTTCCATTTTGTTAATTATTTACACAATTTATGACCAATTGCAAATTTATAGTTGATATTAAAATTTATTTTGAATATGTTTGTATTAAAATATATAAATAATAACTTATATGTATATATACATATATATACACATAACATATTTATAAATATATCCATATAATATAAATATTTACACGTTTTCCCCAAGCTCTCGTATCTTCATTTTATGAATACTAGTAATTGTATTCGTGCGATGCACGGGACAACAAATTGCATTCTTTTGATGTTGTAAGAATATAAACAAACGTTTGATGTATCGTATGATCAAAATTCTATTATACTGGAACATTATTAAGTATACTACACACAAAAAAAAAGGACATAACTTTACTATTGAATAATTTTCCAAATGAATTGAATCAGCTAATACCAGTAGATAGAAAATTTGAACCAGGAAAAAAATCATCAATTATGTCTTCCATGTTGAGCTTAAAAGTAATTAGATTTAATAACTAAGTTAACATAATCAAAACTAAACTATCGACAACATACCATCGTAAAAGGCCATCTATACATCTTGCATCGGAACTAAGCCCTTCTCCACTGCCTCATTTTAAGGTTGTTTTGCCACTGGAATTAACAATTGGAAAATTAAGAAACAAAAATAAATATAAACAATAAATTAAATATCGCATACAAACAATAAGTCTTGAAGGTCGACTTCCAATAGCTTGTGGCTCCGCCCATTTTTGGTTAATTTTCTCAAATCATCCCTTTCAATAACATGTCCAATAACATATAAAATGAAATAATTGTTATACATAAAATTTGAAAACTTTGGTATAAATTAATGAAACACATAATTTAACAAAATGAAATTACCTATAAGCCATGATGGAAAAAGATGTAAACTAATTGCCACACATGCAATAGGATGAAGAAGAAGATAAGAAACAAAATCTAAAGTCGGGTTACCAAACGAAGAAGCCTTAGGTAGGGAAGAAATAAAATTCAAATGTTGCAGACATTCTGTAAAACGATGTCACAAAATCCGCTAGGGATGAAAATCAGATTTATTTACCCTTTTCTGTAAAAATCGAAAATCAGATTATTATAAATAATATCTAGGAGAATTTGATGAAAATCGATAATAATATTTAAAATAATATTTCGGAGATAAAAATTTGATTAAAAAATCAAAAAATAATATTTAGGAGATAAAAATCAAAAATAAAATTTAAAATAATAGTTAGGAGATAAAAATTTGATAAAAAATCGAAAATAATATTTCAAATAATGTTAATGAGATAAAAGTTGATAAAATATGAAAATAATAATTAGAATAATATTTAGGAGATAAAATATGATTAAAATTAAAATTATTATTTAAAATAATATTTAGGAGATAAAAATTTGATAAAAATCGAAAATAATATTTAGGAGACAATAATCTGATAAAAAACGAAAATAATATTTAGGAGATAAAAAACTAATAAAAACATGATAAAACTCGAAAAAAATATTTAAAATATTATTTAGGAGATATAAATTTGATAAAATTCGAAAATAATATTT